AATCTTTTACCATTTCATAATTTATGCAAGTATTTTATTTTATGTGAAATGGATGGAAGTAACTATACAATGATCAGTGTAAACTATATGTAAGAACAAAATATCTTCTTCAAAGATTAGTTGTTTAAACCAAAAAGGCATTTAGAAGTAGTTAATTCTTATAAAGATACATTGACGAATATGTATATTGAATTAATTATAAATTTAAAGAAATTTTAATATAAATTTTGTAAAGATAAAATGTTTAAATTGTAAAGTTAATCTAAAGGTTAAATTTTAGAAAATTAAAGGACAATTATATAAAATAATATCGATGGTATGTAAATTTTAGTAGTATAAATATAGAGATAAAAAATGTAATACCAAGAAGAAAAAGAAAGGAAAACCTTTTTTTATAATTTTTAGTTTGACTTTCATTTTATATTTTTACGTTTTAGTTATTTATGTTATTTTAGATTTTGATTATATTTAATAAATTAAATTGACATCTTCAAATCGTGTTCATATTAAATATTCATCTTCTAATACATTTTTTATAATTTATTTGTGAAGAGTATAACAATATGCATATAATAAGAATTATTTAAATAATCAATAAAATATATATTGATATGTTAATAAGGGTTCAGATACCTGATTTATATGAACGAACACTTATTTAATAATAAATTAATTATTTATTTCATTGTATGATGACAGTAACATATTGGCAGCAATAATTCACCCAAAATTTAAGCTAAATTGGCCTTATATTAATCTGCCATAAAATTTGTTGGTAAAAGAAAAGTTAACTGCCCTTTGGGAAATAAGCAGGATCAGCCACATGTAGATGTTTCAAATAAATGTATGAATAAAATAGATTTTTTGGGAAAAATTCTTCACAAATGCTCGTTCAATTAATTTTTTTTTTATTCAAATGATGATTCAATGAATATTTTTAATACTTATGTTAATTCAAAAAAAATATTATTGAATATAACACCTTTGCCATCCAGCGCGCTTGTGGAGCGCGTATAGTAAAGCTAAACGTGCTTAAGGAAAGACGTGGATGTTTAAATGATAATAACTTAGAAAAATTTTATTATCAAAGGCTAATTTTAATTATTAATAAATATATTCTAATTGTTATACTTAAATTATTATTCAATTGCAATAAATTTATACCATATTTATATTTATATTAGTTAATTTTGGAAATTTCCTCCAAAAATTTAAATAAGAAAAGGATCGTGATCGCGATCTTTTTTTAAAAAAAGGTCGATCCTGGATTTCGATCCATTTTTTTTGAAAAGATCGTGATCGGGATTCAATCTTTTTAAAAGGATCGATGAACAAGCCTGGGTAATGGTTTAATGTCGGATAAGTTGGCTCAATCTACATGCACATGCCTGATAAAATTTGTTAACATTAAGATGTTTTATTTTATATTAGTGTCTTTCAAATTTGAACCACTATATTTTTAAGAAAAACCCCTAGGCTAAAATGACAATCTGGCTAAAATGACAATCTGGCTAAAAATATCTTTAAAGGGAAAAAAATATAGTAATTACTCAAATATAATAAGGACACTATTCAAATATTATGCATTGATATATATGTAATAGTTATTCTTATAAAAAAAAGCCTATATAAAATCCATTAATAAAGTGTCATGATTATTTATAAAATTTTATCAAATGCTATTCTATTTTTTTTTTCGCTAAAGACGAACAAAAACTGTAATTAAGATCACTCTGCAGAATCCTAGACCCGAGTAATTATTTAATATTCCGATTTGGAAGATTCTGTGGCGAAAATTTAAAAATGTTACAGTCAGGTTTCGATTCAGCTGCTTAAATTTTAAAAGGTTCCAATTAGATTAAGGTTTCATAAAAATAATTAAATAATATTTAGATAAAAAAATAATTAACTTTATTGAAAAAATATACTATACATTTATAACAAAATACAATATATGAACAATGAAAATTTACATGTATTTAATTAACAAAAATTATCCTCCGTTTATAATGTTAAAGTAAATGATATTATCGCTAACCATGTTTCTTTTATTACTAGTATATTTACATAAAAGTTTGTAATAGTCATTTAAATCTCTCAATAGCGGGCTTCAATATGTATGAATGACAGTCTAAGTTAGTATTTATAACATTTATTAAATTTAGATGATATTGATAATTTAAATAATAGCTAAATTGAATGGCTCAGTTGTGGAGTATATATATATATAATATATTATCAAGTAATATCCAGTAGCTCTAGACCTAAATGAGGGGGATGGGATCAGGTCTTTATAATAATCAAAAAATTGAACTTAAAAAAAAACAAAATAAAATATATCCAGACATCATTCATGCTCTGTTACCCTTATTTTTCTCCCAAATTATTAATTTTAAACTACAAAAGAATTATTTGTATTATCTAAAATTATATAAATTATTTGAATAATTTAACACATTTAATTTTTATTATGTTGTTTTGACCCACGTTCACTTATAACATATTTTAAAGGCATTCTTAAAAATAAATGTATAAAAATTATAAATGATATACAGAAATAATATTATTTACCTTTATCAAGAATTCTCAATTTATAATGATTAAATTACGGAAAGAAATTATAAAGATTAAATTATGAAAGGAAAAGAAAAAAAACAAAGTTTTTACAAACTTTTTAAAATTTTAAAATGGAAGAAAGGACAAAATTTTAAGATAAAATATAATTCTATTTATTAATTTTTTGTCAATAGTTAGGCGGAAAAAATAAAAAAAAAGGAGATTCAGATTTTACGTTTTTTAGAATGTAAACTTTTATTTTTATTGTTAAGAAAAATAATGATTTAATTCTTTTAAATTGTTGAACAAAAAGAAAAAATCCTAAAATAAAATATAATTATATTTATTTTTTGTTGTCTAAAATTAGGCGTGAAAAGGGGATTTAAGATTTACATAATTTTCGTTATTTTTATTATTGTCTAAAATTGGGCGTGAAAAGGGGATTTAAGATTTAACATAATTTTCGTTATTCTTACTTATCAGGGGGGTATATTATTTTTTTAAACTTTTATAATTTTTTTTTATTGTCTAAAATTAGGCGTGAAAAGGAGATTCAAGATTTAACTATAGTACTTATCAGGGGGGGTATTTTGGGTCTATTTTAAAAAATGGTTGATTAAGATTGTAGCCAAAATAATATATAAGATTAGAGATAGAGGTCAAATCTTTCTTTTTTTTTCTTCCTTCTATACGCAAAATCTCCAGGCTTACATAATATTGGCTACTAATCAACATACCTTATAATGTAATAAATTGGTCCATTAAAGAAATAGGTATAAATATTAGTTAATTTTTTTCGATATTACACATTTAGTAAATAAAATTGAGATTTTTGTAATTTTAAATATGAAGAAATAAATAATAATACCAACATTCAAAATGACTTCTATCTAATCATCCTTATATTTTTATACTAAGTAATTTATAATAAATTGCAACTGTAATAAATACGCGCCGAATTGTCTGTGCAACCATATATGAGTTCTAACTTTACGGTGACTGAATAGGGGGAAATATTCAATTATTATAATATTTATAATAAACATATACATGTCTGTTTTCCATATTGATTAAAAACAGAAATTATAAGTCGAATTTCTATTTCATAATCATCAGTATATACCGAAAACAATTATTTATTATTTGATATTCGAGATTTTATTTGTTAATTCAAAATTATTTGCCAATATTTGTGATTGGATAAGGTATGATATAAAACTCATTATTAACAGTACTTTGTTAACTAAGAGGGTATCACCTGACTCACCCTGTGATTTCCTTAATACAATACATTCGAATCCCTTTCCCTCCAAATATCTTTTTTTAAAAAAAAACTTAAATATTATAAAAATATATTCTATATTCCTTTATATTGAATTTGAAGTTTATTTGAATAAAATTTACTAGGTTTACATAAAATGTTTAATACCTTAATTGAACAAATATTACAAAATATTGGCTACATTGAATAACAAAAGGTCAAATAATACATGAGGTTGTAGTTCATAAAAATAATTAAGATGTAGCTAGGGTTAATTAAATAATACCATTGTTTTGATCATTTCAATTTTATTGTAGACAAGTTCATATGTAATAAATTTATTATAGACGGGTTCATATGAAATAAGTATATAATACAACAATATCTTTTAAGAGAAAATTTTTGGCAATTCAAATATTTTATTAAAACTTATATTGAAATTATTTTATTGAAATTTAAATTAACTTATTTTCGCTAAAGATGTTTAATGGTATCTTCTTAATCGTAGTTATTCTGGCTTTCATAGGACTATCACAAGGTATAATATAAATTTCAATAAAATTATTTATACTCTTCATGCAAGCATTATATTGCTAAGACATATTTAAGATTATTTAAAGTGTACTAATATAAGTTTCCTATTTTTATTTACATTTTAACATATCATAAATTTTAAAATAATTTTTTGAATTGGTATTTGCATCAAAAAATTTAATATTTTTCCAAATTAAAAAAAAGAAAATATTGCAAAATTAAGATTTATAAAGAAATTAGTTTAAAATATTATAACTTTCATAGATTTACTATGAAATCAGATTTTTCAATTTTATAACTCGTTAGAAGATAGATATAATTGCTTTAGTTTAAATGTGTTTCTTATTAATACGATTATAAATATAAAAAATTAAATAATTATGGAGTATTTTGTCCTTACTTTACATTTTCACTAATTTCCTTCATTTTTTTCTTAGAAAATTTAATATTCTTTATCATATTTTCCCTTGCGATATTATCTTGATTTTATTATAATCTTTTTCAATTTATAAATAAAGAGGACCTTGGTAAGAATACATTGCATATTGTTATTTTTATATAAAATAAATTTATATTTTATGAATTTAATCTTAATTTTTTTTGGTTGTATGGTGTGTTAATTTTTTTTCTTCTTATAATAATACTAAAAGTCTTTAGCAAATTTTCTTAATTAAATTTATATACAAAGAAATAAAATTTTAATTATATTTATCATTTTATTCTAATATAATTATAATAATATCTATCATTTTATCACAGTTGATGCTTCGACTTTAACCACAGCCACCACCATAACCGGAGGACCTAATCATTCTGGTATATTATTATATGCATAAATTAAAAGTTAACCCAATTTTATAATTATTAGTCGACATTTGACATTTTAAAGTGAGTAGCCCTTTGTTCGGTCTGCAGATAGTGACAAGTGACAATAAACTTACTTAAACATCCACATGATCTAAGAAGTTGTAGAACAGGCCCCTGTCAGATTACATGGATATCCAAAGATAGCTGATAATTTTTTGTTTTGTTTTAAAATTTAAAAACCTCATGTCAAAGTTGTCGAGAGAGGTGGTGACCACAAACAAAAAAAACGTTATATTAAGAGGTATATTTTTCTTAGATTTTCAGCCTATCTAAGGTAACTTTGGTGTTTGATCTGGTGAATATCACGATAAAGAGAGGGTCTCATGCAATACCCTTTTGAGTTAATACATGTCTTTGTCTTCCGATACATTAAGAACATCAAGTTTAGTTAATCTGAATCGCGAAAGGTATTAAATACACTGTAGTATATAATTACATATTCATAGTTACAATTTGGAATAGTATTAAGTCATGATAGAAGTGATTTGGAGAAATTTTTTAAAAAAAATGTAATATATAAAATATTTTAAAAAATTGGCATTTCAGGATTATTAAAATGACAAAAATAATTATAAATATTTCTTGAAAAATATAAATCACGATATTTTTGAATGAAAATTTTTATTTTTTGATTAAATCTTTTCTTTTCTTTGGATCTTTTTTTGTTAGTGAATCATTTTCTCATTTTATTTAGCCTCCCTTTTTTGATCGAATCTTTTTCTTTTATTATTGACACTTGAAAACCTTACAATTTTTTTTTCTTTTTAAGCTTTGAAAACTAAGGTTCCAAGTTCTAATCTTGATTTGAAAATAATCTTCAAGATTTTCCATGATGATTGATGAGCAAATATCGATAAAGATGATTTACCGAGCTTAGAATTGCCCACCCTAGTCATGAGAGGCTTGAGCAGCCGGGTAGTAGGATATTTGTCCGTTCAGCAAAAATCGATTATACTTAAAAAACCTTGCAATTAAAATAACTAAATTAAAATATTGTTTATTTTTGATAGCATTGTAATAAATTCTTAATTTTTACTTGTTTGAAATCTGCCCAGTAGCCCTTAATTTATATATTAATTCAAATAAATTTTGAAACAATATATTTTTGGAGAAGCCAATCTATAACTTAATATACTAATAAATTAAAAAAATAAATAAACACCTGCGTATCAATGAACTTTAAAGAATTACAAATCTTTTTTTTGAATATTACCAAATATTTATAAACAATTATTTTAACTATACAGTATCTCTCTTATATTACTTTTAAGGGAAGGTGATCAGAAAATGAACCAAATGTAATTAATACATTTAAAAAATTATAATAATAGTACCTATTCGAACCTTCCCAAATATGCTTTTAATTCTAACTCCAATGTCTTTTAACATTTAATAGTATCGATTCTCTTATGATTACCAACGATAATAAGCTTATGAATTAGCTTCTGTATTAAATGCCACAGAACTAAATTACAGTTATATTGAATGTGAGAATCTTGGTATCATCTTAATGGTAATCACTTTACAATAATTATTGACCATAAATAACTCATTCTTTGCCATATAAAAGATTAACAAAAATGCAATTAATATTAATAGTAATAATTACTAGCAAATTATGACTATGAGTTATCATTTAAAGGAACTAAAAAACATAGAAATTGGGATATACTTATCTGATTTATAATTGATGGCAAACCATCTGCATGGGAAGAATTAGATATTAGTTTTATATTACTAAAGGCTCCACAATTCTTAAAGATATAAAATACCAAACGTAAAACAACCTAATATTATCGAAATTATCACGTAATTTAACAAGTGGTTGGCCTATATTAGAAGAAAATCTTAAATTTTTTTTCAACTAAGTGTGGAGCTCATAATGGAAGCTGAATGTATATTATGAATAAATAAAATTTCTTACTTGCAATTTCGGAAACCAACTATTAATGCTATATTATTCCCAAATCACAACTACTCTTTCTTTATGGAATTAAAAACCATATAATATTATATCCCATTTAAAAATTTTTAATTTAAATGTACCTTTTAACCGCCATTTTAAAATTTTCTATCATTTTTCTTTCTTTCTAATTTTCACTTTTTCCCACCAATTTTAAGTAATTTTTGAGTTTTTAACACCTATTTATGAGAATTATATCATATTTAACTTGGTTTTTATTCGTTTTCATCTAATTTTTATACTTCTTCCCACTCAATTATTTTATATTATATATTTATAAAATAAGTTCTCCATTTTTTCGTTTACTTAAAATTTCCCTATAGATTTTGCGTATTTCATGTTATTAAGTCATCTTTTTCCCTTGTCAACTCTTATCTTTCACATCAAAACATTTCTTTTAAATCAAAATTTATATTTTTTGAAAATGTACCATCCTAAGTAGGCGATAATAAATAGCAATGAATAATCAATCATAATAGTATATATTTTGTGATAACGTCTATATCAGTAAAAAATAACTATCTTTGAACATATAATATAAAATATATGCTTATTTTTATATTTATAGAAGCAAAATTAAACATTAAAGGTATAAACGTATTTATTTTGAAATATTTTACAAAAAAAATTATTCCAAGTAGACAACCATTATGAATGTGTTAATAATTCATTCTATTTCCAAGTCATATATCAAGATCGAAATAAATCTTGATAGAAACATATTCTATATGCTTTGTTCCTATTATTAATTAAAACTAAAATATCTTCTTATTATAATTAAGAAAAAACTTAGGCGCTTCTAATGTAGCTCAGCTATGATTTATAATGAAAACACGTTTTATTAAAAATCCTGATAGATTGTTAGATAAATCGCAACTTTTATATAATAATAATTATCATTCTAATATAATAGAAAATGGAAACGGGCTCCCCGTGATAGTTTAAAAGATCGATTTCTTGGAACAGACTAATAAAAGTTTAGTACTGCCTACATCCAAACACAAATTATAGAACCGAAGCCATCTAAAAATTATTTAGTCAAATATTAATATAATATAGTTTTGTGATAATATATAACATTGATTTATTCCCAAAAGATAAATTGAATATAAAAAACAACTAAATTTTTAATAATAAATATATATTTATACACATATTAAATATAATTAATATATTTTCTTGTTAGAAATTTAGATAGATTGAAATGGAAATAATTTATTATATATTATATTAAAAAATTTTTAAAGTAAATCTTTATTAAATTTTAAAAAATAAATAAAATAACATAACATATAAAACTATAATAAAATGTTAGAAATCATTTAAACAATTAAAGTATGATAAATATAAATACTAAATTAAATTTGAAAAAAAAAACATATATAAAGGGAGGAAAAAGCAAAAAAAATTATTCATTGAGATCCGAGAATACTAAGTTAATGGCCTAGTAACACGACAATTTGAGTTTATTGTAACATTTTAAAAGAGGATCCATGATTCCCAGTAGTGTTGTTAAAAAGTCGAGTTCATCCGACTCAGAGTCTCAAGTCGTTAGTCAAATATGTCGACTACAAACTCAAGCCGTGAACTCGAGTTATGAACTCAAGTCGAGGACGAATATTTTATGAACTTGAGTCGTCAAATTGAGTCGACTAGAGGACGAATATTTCAGATTTATTATTATTAATTAAGATATTTTTTGTATATTGGTAGAAATAATTATTGGAATAAAGTGATAATCTATAAAGTCTTCTTGTACTTTCTAATTTTTGACATTTCGGCAATAATTTTAAGCAATTAAAAAAATATTAATAATGTCTTCGATTTTCGTTAAAAATTATAAAATATAAAGGAAATAGAACTAAGCAATTTAATAACTGATACTAAAAAGCTTCTCAAGCAACAAAAAATTTATCTAATTCACCCTCTTATAAAAGAATTTGTCTAAAATTTTGATAAAATTTGCCTGATTTATTATATAATATTATGAGTTATAATCTAAAGGAACTAAAAAACTAGCAATTCAGATATGCTATCCTGATTTATAATTGACGGCTAACAATCTGCATGGGAAAAATAAGATATTAATTTTATAGTGTTAAGGCTCCACTATTCTCCTAGATATAAGAACCCAATCGTAAAACAACCTAATATTATGAAATTATCATGTTACTTAACAATTGTTTAGCATATATTAGATAAAAATTTCGAACTTTTTTTCAGCTACGAATGGAATGGATGAATATATATTATGACTAAATAAAATTATACACTTGCAATTTCAGGAAAGAATACTATATTATCTCCAAATAATAATTACTTTTTCTTCTTGGAATTAAAAACTATATAATAATATATACCCATTTATAACTTTTTAATCTAATTTTCCCTTTTTTTGCCCCCATTTTAAAATTATCTATCTATATATTTTCTTTCTATATATTTATTCTGATTTTCCCAAGAAATTTTAAGTATTTTGTGATTTTTTTAATCCTATATTTGAGAATTATATAATTTTTAACTTAGTTTTTATTCTTTTTTATCTAATTTTTACACCTTAGCTTTACTCTTGTATCTTTCACATCACAATATTTTATTTATATTTTTTCAAAATGTACCAACCTAAGTAGGCGACAATAAATATCAATAAAAACAATTAATCAATCAAAAATAGGATGGATTTTGGGTTAACTATAATTTATCCAAAAAGGATATAACTATCTTTCAACACGTAATATATTATATATGCATGTTTTCTATTTCTAGATGCAAAATTACACCCTAAAGGTATGAAATATAATTATTTTGTAATAAAAAAAAATTATTCCAAGTACAGAACTATTAAAAATATTCTAAATAATTTATATTTTCATTCTATGATTCTAAGTCATACATCTAGATCTAGACTTATTCTATATGCTTTGTTCCATTTTTAATTAGAATTAATATCTAATATAATTAAGGAATTTAGAGGCTTTTAATGTAAAGTAGCTCAGCTGCGATTTATAATGATAAAAGCCATATTTAAATAAAATAAAACCTTAGGTGGGGGCCGTAACTAAAAATATTATTTTATTATGTCCTGTCTTCTTGGAACAAACCGTTTAAAAGATCGATTTTTTGGAACGGTCTTAACTCATGCTTTAGTGCTGCATATGTCCTAACACAAAATATAGAACCGTAGGTCTCTAAAAAAATATTTCTTCAAATATTAAACTAATATAGTTTTGTGAAATTATATAACATTGTATTTTACCAAAAAGATAAATTGAACATTATAAATATCGTTAATTCCTTTTATTTAAACAAAACGTATTTATTAATAAGAATTGTACACATAAAAAAAACTAAAAGTAAAAATTATATTTTTTCTAAAGTTTATATAATAAAATTTGTCAGATTTGAATTGTTCTGTATTACAAAAAATATAAGTTAAAAGCTAAATATTCAAATATACATTCTACAAATCTAAGTTAAACAAAAAAAATAAGAATAATATTACAAGGTAAATTGAATATCTTTATTTTGATTTATATAACAGAATACAATAATTAACTAAATTATTAATAATAAATATAAATTAATACATTTTCTTACTATAGAATGAAATGGAAATTATTTATTATATATTATATTTAAAAAATTTTTAAAGTAAAAACTTTAAATTATAAAAATAACATAACATAAAACTATATTAAAATGAAAGTAAGAAATCATATAAAAGATGATAAATATAAAGACTATAATAAATTTAAAAAAAACATATGAAGGGAGAAAAAAGCAAAAAGAGCCACTCACTGAGATCCGAGTAAAATAATTTAGTTGCCTAGGAACACTACAATTTGAGTTTATCATAAAATTTTAAAAGAGGATCCATGATTCCCATTTATTTGAGGTATTTACTTTACCTAAAATCTTTTAAAAATGCCTAGGAACCAATTAGTAGAAATAATTATCGGAATAACGTGATAATCTATAAAGTCTTATACTTTATAATTTTTAACATTTAGGCGATTTTTTTTATGTTATTAAAAAATATTAATAATCTCTTCGATTTTCGTCAAAACTTTTAAACTATAAAGTAAATAGAACTAAGCACGCAATTTAATAACTGATACTAAAAAGCTTCAAGCAACAATAAATTTATCTAATTTACCCTTTTAAATTATAAAAGAATTTGTCTAAAATTTTGATAAAATTTGCCTTATTTAATATATAATTTGATTTTCTTTTTAGAGTTAGAGAAAGACATGCTTTCGAATGCATTATAAAACAGCTCAATTTTCAGGGAGAGAACTGGGTCCTGATGGTACACCTCCAAGACCTTTTCGGACAGAGTTTTCCCATTCTATATAATGGAACACTTGTTTTTATACTTTAAAACATAGGAAATAAATTAAAAATGTTCTTGTCCTTTAGAACATTTAATTTTATTTAATTAAGAACCTTTATATTACCAGTTTTCTTGATTTATTTTTTATTTTAGATATAATTATCCAACAGATAAGTAAATTTTTTTTCTTACATAATTATAATCTAACATAATCATGCATAGTTTAACATGATTTTCCACAGATTTTGTAACATTTATTTATTCTAATTTGACAACCCATATTAAATAAAAGGTTTTGATAAAAATAAGAATTATTCTAAATATGATCTTTTCTCTATGTATAAATTTTTAACTATAATCTTTTTTCGAAATAATTTCATTTTTTTAATCCTACTTTTCGAGGAGGAGTTTTTATACATTAATTTATTTTAATATGTTGTCTGTTGGCAATTTGTTTTAAAATAAATCAATACATTTATTTAATAAAAAAGTAATATATTTAATTGCATACTATTTGACATGTCTGATCAAAATAACCATGTTTTAATAACGGAATTTGAATAATTGATATTATAAAAATATTAATAATCTTATAATCGTTTTTTGTTCCTAACTTTATATCCTCATGTAATCTGCCAATTTAATCGAAATGTTTTTTTTGCTTATTTTAAGCTTTTTTAGAGTTGTAAAATACAGTTTTAAAAAATTTTTCACTTTATTAGATTCCTAACTAAATTATGATTTTTATTCTTTTTTGTATCCTAAAAGTAATGCAATATTTTATTTTGTGTTAAATTTTTTCCATTTGTAATCGATATTCATACTAATTTCCCCCAATACTCGCGCTTCATAGACATCTGCTATAACAATAGCACTTTCCTCATCTTTAATGGTAGCGTTATATACTCTGAAGAGGGAGTACAACAGGGCGACCTCCTCGGCCCTATTCTTTTCTGCTTAGATATCCATAATATGATGAAAGATCTTAAATTTGATTTTGATCTCGACCTAAACCTATGGTACCTTGATGATGGCACCCTTTGCGATAATTCACATTAAATAAGCAAAGCCCTTAACTACCTTGAAAGAGTATGCTCTAAAATAGATTTGGAATTAAATAAAACTAAAACTGAAATTTGCTTCCTCAACCCCGAGATTCCCTTAGATTTATTTAAAGAATACACTATTATCGAAAAAGAAAATATCCAACTTTTGGGCTCCCCATTACTTAATAATAATATATCCAAAAAAATTATCTATAAAACTTTGAGATGTAAAAATTGGAAAAGTTCATCAACCACATTCTATCGCACCAGCTTTTTTACTTATTAAAAAAGTGTTTTTATCTTCCCAAAATCTCACATCTCTACTCATCCTCCTCATTCATCTCCTCAAACATTCAACACAATATTCGCTTAAAGACCTTTATAGAAAGGATCATCAACCTTTCATTATCAGACTTTAATTGGCACCTAGTCCAATTACCCGCTAAACTGGGTGGTATCGACTTGATTCCCTTAGAACTACTTTCCCTTTCTCTATTTATATCAAATCGCTTATCGCTCAATTCTGCGATCTCATCATTCATAACTCCTTATGATCTTCTTACAGCAGCAATAGAAAGATGGAATCTCCTAACCCCAGACGGTTATACATTTCCTACCGAAATCTCTAACAAATCTATCATCGAACCCCTAATAAAAAAATTACAAAATGGTCTTAACCCTACCAAAATAATCGATATACAACTATTAGAACAACGATAAATACGGCTGGCATGAATGGCTCGAAGCACTTCCAAGCCAAACCTTAGATAATCTCTTATCCAATGACCAACTGAGAGTTACTATAGGCTTTAGACTTGATCCTTGCTTAAACATTCACACTCTTGCTACCAATGCAGCCTAGCCGTTCAACCTAACGTCAGACATGGTCTAAACTGCACCCGCAGCCAAGGACGTCATCTCCGTCATTAAGCATTTATAAAATTATACATAACGCTTTTAATAAGGCTATAATACCCAAAATCCTTGAACCTACCAACCTCTCATTACAAGACGGATTCAGACCCGAGCTTAACTGCACCCCCTGGTCTAATGGGAAATCCCTTATTTGGGATGCAACCTGCGTATCATTCTTTCCTTTATCAATTAATACAAACCCTCTTACTTGTAGGGAAAATAAAATAATTAATAAATATTCAAAATTAAATAACTTTATATTTCAGCTAATAGTCATTTCAACAACGGCAATTTTTCATAGTCTACATATATTTTTTTAAAAACTTTATCACGAAAATTTTTTCGCATAACAAACGAAAATTGCGAATCCTTATTTCTTAAACAAAAATTCAATTGGAAATTTTTAAACACAAATATACTTGTTTTTTACGTACATTTTTATTATTAAATTAAGCTCTTTTTAGAACCTTCGATAATATTAATATGTATTTTTATTTAGTAATTTTATATATTTTTACATATTTTTATATAGTTGTTTTAATATTTTAGTGTTTTATCATTTTTTTTAAATATTATACCAATATCAATATCATCATAATAAAATTTTAATGGATTTGATTAATAATTTCTTAAGAGAAACTTTAATTTACTTGAAATATCTCTCCGAGGTTTAATACTAACCTCGAGAGCCCTGATGAGATATATTCTCGCCCAAAAATGATTTTAAAGTTAAGATTAAAAAATAGCTTAAAGACCCTATCCTTGAATGTTGACCTGTTACTACACAGCTGATTATTCATTTCCGAGCGTTATTACATAGAAAAATTAGGTAGAACAACAAAAATAAGAGAAAAGTTATTAGTCACCAAATAGAGGAAAATTTTTTAAAAAATCGGTATAAATGCTTGCCAAATTTTATCATATTTTTTTTTAAAATGTAATTTATTCTTAAAATTAATTTAGGGAAAGAATTCGGTAAAATATTTGATTTCTTTTTAAATTCCAATAAAAATTAATGACCATAATATAAAAAAATAGGGTAATGCTGTTTTATTTTTTGTTTTTAAAATCATTAATTGAGCCCGTTGTTTTATAATTTAATAATCTGATTTTGCGCGAAATTCATATAAATTAATATAAATTAAGGTATCTTCAAAGGTTGGTCATAAAATTGTCTGAAATATTTTAGGGTGGATATTCAACACATATTGAAATACATTTCCAGCAAAATCACATTTCTAAACTTAATAAAACGCTCTCAATTATAGATTTATAATGCAAAACATACTAAACATGTGGAGAAAATTTATTAAATTATCTTCTTCATACAAAACATATGATTGACGTATATATATATATATAAATATATATACAATGCCATTTATATCATGCCCACCCCTGTGCCAGGACATGCGGCTAAGATAAATTTTTTATTATAATTAATATAATATGCTATTTAAATATTGACCAAAATGGATCTAAAAATATATTTCAAAGGAATCTAAAAACGAAAATGTAATATACTTCATATATATAATAATGTAAATCATATAATTCGACAGCCAAAATATGGAAAAAATATTATAATTATAAATTTATGAACTTTCACATTATTTATGATATTTCATATAATTATCTATTTTTCTAATAAAAAATTTTAAATAGTGAAAAATGTTAATCTATAATTTTTTTATCAGAATAGTCAAATAATATATTTCCATTTGATTCATTCTTAATTTATAAATTATTTGTAATATATAAATTATTTTAAAACAGAATTTTTTTTTTTTGAATACCATAATAATTTAATTAGAACAAGAATATATATGTGAAAAACTTCATGGTCCTTGGAATATCATTATATTTTTTAGGAAATTTTCTAGTCTTTAAAAATTGTATTAATATATCCACTATACATTGCTATTTGCAAAAGAATATTTATTATTTGTTTAAAAAAAATTGAATCTCTGACCAAAAATAATATGAACCTACGTTTTTAATATAATGCTAATAATATGTTGATTTTAAATATTTTGTTTTATAACTTATCTCTATGACTTTCTTTGACTAATTAAAAATATAATTGAGATATTATACTAAATTTAACTGTCAAAGGTTATGCTTTACCGCTTTCGCTATAAATTTTTTTAAATAGTGTCTTACTATATTTTATTTATTTATTTAAAAATATATAATTAATAAATCAAAACTAATAAATATTCTCATAACATTCTTTATGATAAAATTTATTTTTAATATTAAACAAATAAGAAACCCCATCCTCTTTCTTAAATTTACCTAATAACATTTTAAGCTGGTTAAATATTTGCCCCTATAGACTTCATACCCATGTCATTTTTGTTAGAACTAGATTAAAAATGTTGACTTATAATGATTTAATTTGTCTTATTAAAAAGAAATCAAAATAGCTCCTCTAACAGTGGCGTAGCTAGGAATTTTCCTTAGAGGGGGTCCATACATATAAAAGCTGGGGGGCGTTTTGCTCGGCCTTCGGCCGGGTTTATCTTACAAATCATAACCATATCTTCGATAATATATAATAAATATATTTTTTTAAATGCATCAATAATATGTTATTATACTTTAGTAGATTATTCTCAATGACTTTATAATAATACTATCCAGAATAATTTCAATAGTAATATAATATCCTTCCACAAACCAGAAAAATATAATTGATATAAACTCACTTTTAAGTCTTTTGAACTTATAATCTAAAAAAAATATTTGCTCTGGGAGCTGTCCAAACCCGAAAACCACCCCCGTAGCTACGTCACTGTCCTCCAATATCATTATATTCATGATGATATTTTTATTATCGAGTAATTAAAAATGTTGCTAATATAATTCGATTTATGAAATAATCGATGTATTAATTAGCAAATAATATAATATCGGTAATTTTAGTATCCACATTGTTTCCAAAATAAACAAATAATGGAATAATTTAAAAAAATGCAACCAATGATAATTATGGCTCTTAAACAATAATCTCATCAGGATTATTTGGCAGATTAAATAAATAGGAAAATTGTTATTTAAATAGTGCGTAATGCTTTTAATACAATTCTAGCATAAAAAAAAGTTAAATTTAAAATAATTGGATTTTGATTTAATTAATAAAAGAAATAAATAATATAATATTAAATTTTAGGTACAACAC